TGTATACTGTACTCACTATTATGTATACTGTACTCACTATTGTGTATACTGCACTCACTATTGTCTATACTGCACTCACTATTGTGTATACTTCACTCACTATTGTGTGTACTGCACTCACTATTGTGTTTTACTGTACTCACTATTGTGTATACTGTACTCACTATTGTGTATACTGCACTCACTATTGTTATACTGCACTCACTATTGTGTATACTGCACTCACTATTGTGTATACTGTACTCACTATTGTGTATACTGTACTCACTATTGTGTATACTGCACTCACTATTGTGTATACTGCACTCACTATTGTGTATACTGCACTCACTATTGTGCATACTGCACTCACTATTGTGTATACTGCACTCACTATTGTGTATACTGCACTCACTATTGTGTATACTGTACTCACTATTGTGTATACTGCACTCACTTATGTATACTGCACTCACTATTGTGTATACTGTACTCACTATTGTGTATACTGCACTTACTATTGTGTATACTGCACTCACTATTGTGTATACTGCACTCACTATTGTGTATACTGCACTCACTATTGTGTATACTGCACTCACTATTGTGTATACTGCACTCACTATTGTGTATACTGCACTCACTATTGTGTATACTGCACTCACTATTGTGTATACTGCACTCACTATTGTGTATACTGCACTCACTATTGTGTATACTGCAACTACTATTGTGTATACTGCACTCACTATTTGTGTATACTTCACTCACTATTGTGTATACTGCACTCACTATTGTGTATACTGCACTCACTATTGTGTATACTGCACTCACTATTGTGTATACTGCACTCACCATTGTGTATACTGCACTCACTATTGTGTATACCGCACTCACTATTGTGTATACCGCACTCACTATTGTGTACAATGCACTCACTATTGTGTATACTGCACTCACTATTGTGTATACTGCACTCACTATTGTGTATACTGCACTCACTATTGTGTGTACTGCACTCACTATTGTGTATACTGTACTCACTATTATGTATGCTGTACTCACTATTGTGTATACTGCACTCACTATTGTCTATACTGCACTCACTATTGTGTATACTTCACTCACTATTGTGTGTACTGCACTCACTATTGTGTATACTGTACTCACTATTGTGTATACTGTACTCACTATTGTGTATACTGCACTCACTATTGTGTATACTGCACTCACTATTGTGTATACTGCACTCACTATTGTGTATACTGTACTCACTATTGTGTATACTGTACTCACTATTGTGTATACTGCACTCACTATTGTGTATACTGCACTCACTATTGTGTATACTGCACTCACTATTGTGCATACTGCACTCACTATTGTGTATACTGCACTCACTATTGTGTATACTGCACTCACTATTGTGTATACTGTACTCACTATTGTGTATACTGCACTCACTTATGTATACTGCACTCACTATTGTGTATACTGTACTCACTATTGTGTATACTGCACCTACTATTGTGTTACTGCACTCACTATTGTGTATACTGCACTCACTATTGTGTATACTGCACTCACTATTGTGTTATACTGCACTCACTATTGTGTATACTGCACTCACTATTGTGTATACTGCACTCACTATTGTGTATACTGCACTCACTATTGTGTATACTGCACTCACTATTGTGTATGCTGCACTCACTATTGTGTATACTGCACTCACTATTGTGTATACTGCACTCACTATTGTGTATACTGCACTCACTATTGTGTATACTGCACTCACTATTGTGTATACTGCACTCACTATTGTGTATACTGCACTCACTATTGTGTATACTGCACTTACTATTGTGTATACTGCACTCACTATTGTGTATACTGCACTCACTATTTGTGTATACTGCACTCACTATTGTGTATACTGCACTCACTATTGTGTATACTGCACTCACTATTGTGTATACTGCACTCACTATTGTGTATACTGCACTCACTATTGTGTATACTGCACTCACTATTGTGTATACTGCACTCACTATTGTGTATACTGCACTCACTATTGTACATAGCTGTTTTTTTCTTATTTCCACAACCTGAACATTTTTTTTTTATAATTTCACAAGATTTGTACACCCTTTCGTGCTTCCACTGTATTGTACTCTGTGGTACTGTACTCTATGGTATTGTACTCTGTGGTACTGTACTCTGTGGTACTGTGCTCTTTGGTATTGTACTCTGTATTAATTCTATACATACGTAAGACTAGCAGTAAGTATCAATTATTAAAGAAGTAGCTCTCTTGGTAAGATCCTGGCGACTCTTGGCAACCGATTAAAAGACGCTTTATACACTAGGCTTATTTCTAGAGAGTACTCTCTTATTTAACTCCACAACATTTATTATAGTATCTTATCTATACACTGTGTATCACTGTGATATACACTGTATCACTATGTATATTGCTCCATTTTCACAGAAATTACACTTTGGTAATTATATCACACGGCATTTTAGGCTTATAGTTGACCTCGTGTAAGTGTGCAGCAGCACTGTTACATGCACTCTTCTTTCCATGTATCTGGCTCAGTGGGTACTATTTTTTCCTAGATTAGTTTCAAACGTTTGAGAGATATACTTTATAAATTCACTGACACAATTCTACGTTTCTGGCACGGGGAAAAAAACTGCGACAATCCACGAAAAACTGAAGAGTACGCAGGGGAGAGTATGGTGCACTATACACCACTGTTGTAGCCATCCACAGAAAAGCAGAAGGTCAAGACAATAATATGATGAGAGCAACAGATCAATCGTTGATACGCTAGCTGAGGTTGTCAGAAGGGCCCACATGGGCAGGGCAAAGTTACTAGCTGTGGGTGACTTCAATCACAAGGAGATTGACTGGGAAAACCTGGAGCCACAGGGGAGCAGAAAAGTAGAGAGCTAAGATGATGAAAGTGGTACTGGAAAATCTCATGCATCAACACGTTAGGGACACTACAAGAGTGAGAGAGAACAGAGGATGAACCATCAAGACTGGACCTCATATTCACCCTGAGTAGTTCAAACACTGAAGACATAAAATATGAAATGTCCTTCAGAGCTAGTGATCATGTATGTGGTCCTGAGCTTTGAATACATAGTAGAGTTACATGTGAAGAGAGAAGCTAGAAGAGTAGGATGTGAGAAGATAAACTACAAAAGAGTGGACTGCACAGGCAGAAGAAATTTCCTGCATGAGGTTCAGCGAGAAAGAGAACTGATGGTGACAACGAAAGCCAAGTCTGACCCGAAGCTGTTATAAGTTACATCAGGCTGTATAACAGCAGTCAAGGACCATGTAATCACACTTAGGAAAGATCACAAGATACAACCGAGAAGTATATGAAGAGCTCAACATGAAATTTACAGAAGTATTTTCAGTGGAAACAGAAAGGACTACACAAACCCAGAATCATACAATCAAGAAGGAGGTGAAGAGGCTGCTAATTGAACTAGATACCTAAACGGTGGTGGGATCAGACAACATATCTCCATGGGTCCTGAGAGAGGGAGCAGATGCACTGTGTGTGCCACTAACAACAGTTTTCAACACATCTATCGAAACAGGGCAATTACCTGTGGTGTGAAAGACAGTATATGTAGTCTCAATTTTTAAGAAAGGAGACAGGCAGGCAGCATTAAACTGTAGACCAGTGTCACTGACATGAATAGCATGAAAAGTCATGGAGAAGATTATCAGAAGAGTGGTGGAACACCTAGAAAGGAATGAGCATATACACGACAACCACCATGGTTTAGGGGAAGAGAAATCCTGTGTCACAAACCTACTGGAGTTTTACGACAAGATGGCGGAAGTAAGATAAGAGACAGATGGTGGGCAGACTACATTTTCTTGGATTGTAAGAAGACTTTCGTTTCAGTTCCACACAAGAATATATTATTGTTATAATAAAAAATGAAGCGCTAAACCTACATTGGTCACACAAGAGATTAGTGCAAAAGCTAGAGGGGCAGGAAGAAAAGTATAACAGGAATGGCATTGTAATGAATCTGAAAATAACTGACAGGAAGACAACAATGAGTCATGGTACGTGATGAGATGTCAGAGTGGGTGCCTGTGACGAGCGAGAGCCCACAGGGATCAGTTTTAGGACCGGTGCTGTTTCTTGTATATGTAAATGACATAACGGAAGGGATAGATTCAGAGGTGTCTTTGTTTGCAATGTGAAGCTAATGCAAAGGACTCAATTGGATGAAATTCAGGCAGGACTACAAAGGGGACTGGATATGCTGCAAGCCTGGTCCAGAAACTGGCTCCTGGTGTTTAATCCCACCAAGTGCAAGGTCATGAAGACTGGGGAAGGTCAAGAAAGACTGCATGCAGAGAACAGGCTAGGAGGCCAAAAACTGCAAACCTCACTCAAGGAAAAGTATCTTGGGGTGAGTATAATACTGAACACATCTAATGAGCAGCTCATCAACCAAATAACTGCTAATGCATATGGTCGCCTAGCAAACCTAAGAATAGCGTTTCGACACCTTAGTATCGAATCGTTCAAGACACACTACACCGTGTACGTCAAGCCCATACTAGAGTATACAGCACCAGTTTGGAACCCCAAAACCTATCAAGCACGTCAAGAAATTAGAGAAAGTGAAAGGTTTGCAAGAAGACTAGTCCCGGAGCTAAGAAATATGTCCTACGAGAAGAGGTTAAGGGAAATCGACTTGACGACACTTGGGAACTGAGAGGAAGTGACAAAGTGGATAGGGATAAGATGTTTCAGAGATGAGACACAGCAACAGTGGGTCACAACTGGAAGTTGAAGATTCAGACGAGTCACAGACATGTTAGGAAATATTTCTTCAGTCAGGAAGTGGAACAATCTGGAGAGTTATGTAGTGGAGGCAGGATCCGAACATAGCTTTAGGAAGAGATACGCCCAGATTATTCAATCACCACTCCTTATGCCCACGTCACTCATTACTCCTCACGTCCACAGGTGCCGCCCAAGCTGACGAGAACCCATGTGAGCCTTCAGACATATCACCCATAGACTACCAGCAGGTGAGTCTTCCTACAGCACAGTAAATAAAAATAAGTACAACTAGCTGAATATTTAAAATAAATTATTCATTATAACATCAAAATACAATAACTTAAAAACGATATAGACGTCAGTAATAGATATAATGGTTGCCGAGAAGATTCCATTTTATTGAACAACAATTTAAAGTACATTCTAGCAGCTGCTAGATGGGAAGAAATGTCTAGTTGTCATTTCTGATTTTTGGGTTAGCTGTGAAATATTGCAGCCACGCTATATACAGTTTGTTTATTTTCGAAAGAGCTCAGTGAAAGTGATACTTAGAAAATAGTGGACTTTTAAACTGTGTTGTATTAAATTAGTTGTTTATGATTAAAATGGAGGCAATGAACGACTAAAGATGGTGGTTGCCAGGATCTATGTATGGTTGCCTCTATGTATGGCTGGTTGGTGAAGCAACTCCTGGAAAAGTTAGAGAGTGTGAAGTGTGTGAGTAGGAGATGAAACACACACTACAGCACAGTGGTTACACTGGTCGTACAGATGTGTACATTGCAAAGATGTTGTAACTAATGTTAGCAGCAGTTTTTAAAATGTATGCAGGATTTGCTGCACTTTGGTAGTGCTTACTTGTATAACAAATAGTGAAACTGCCAAGACTGAAGTTGATATGACAATAACGTATTAACACTTTTGATGGTATATTCGCTCAGAGGTTGAGTAGTGTTCTCTTAAAAAATTTGCCTTTCGAGACAAAAATCTAAAATCTAGAACCTCATAGACAACTGCTTACTTTCTCCATCACCTTTTCACACCTACAGGCGCTCTGTATGTCATTCTTCTTCTACGAAGCCCAGAGGTCCGGTAAACTACCAGAAAATAACCGCGTCTCATGGCGAGGTGACTCTGCCCTGGATGACGGTTCTGATGTGGGCCATGATCTTACTGGTGGCTACTACGATGGTAAACATTATTAGGGTAGACAGTGATAAGCTCTTGGCTGGAGATATAACAATATAAGAGAATTTGGTTAAAAATTATTCATCCCAATAGGCCAAATGAATAAAAAAAACATTTCTTCTATATAAGATTGATGAAGAAGTGGAATAATGTGATCAATGGAGAGCAAACAGCATACAAGGATTCATAAATGGAATGACAAAACTATCATTAAACTGATAATTACATAATCTGTTTTAACCTCTGTAACAGCTGGCGACTTGGTTAAGTATGGCTTCCCAATGTCCTTCACCATCACCATGTTGGCCTGGGGCCTCATCGACTTCTCTGACGGCTACAGTAAAGCTGGTGAGTTCGTTCTTGCTCGCCTAGTTTATTGTTTATTCTGGTGATGTAAAACCCTGCTGATACAGACAGCCCATCAGATATTCTTATTCCTGTTCATTGTCCAAGCATCTCGTCTTATGGAAAAGAAACGTCGTTTACATTTCTGATATATAATGACTTTCTTCCCTCGGCTGGAGGAAAGAGAAATTCTAACGGCTCTTTCCTTGCTCTCTCTTTTTTGTTTTATTACCTTATTTTACTTTCGATTTAATAACAACTCTTTTTATTTTAATCTCCGAAAATACTGTATTGATTCAGAAAGGATCCAAGTTAACATGGGAGCAATAATTAAATTGTTAGTGAGCAGAACAAGCTGTTATATAGCGTCATTAAATGATTGCTGAATAACATTGAGTTACTTCGAGTAAAATCTACCTAGCATAGGGTAACAGGTTCACTGCAATGCTCCTCTATTACAAAGATTTATTCATGCGTTAAATCTCACGAGGACGCAAAAATAGATCATGGACCACAAAGGACCTTCACATCTCGGACTAAATTCTGTTTTATTTTCTCTCAATATGGGATTTCTTGTTTACTGAGTATTGTTTACGACATGAAAATTACGTTCATATATTGTTATTGCTCACAGGCCAGACTGATTACGCCTTGGAAGCCATCAAGTGGGGTACCGACTACTTCATTAAGTGTTACACCTCAACGAATGAGTTCTGGGGTCAGGTGAGCACCTAGTTAATTTATGACAGTTACATTGTGAAAGCACCTGCAGTGTGAAGGACGTTGTGAGAACACCCGCAGTGTACAACTTTTCTATTTTAGGTGAAAGTTGTAATGTGGGAACACTCGCAGGGTGCCACTACATATACTATATGACAGTTATATCGAGGGAACACCTGTTGTATGAAGGTCGTGGAAACACCCGTGTATGTGCAGATACTCTATTCTATATTACATAATGGGAATAAAAACTAAATGTGTTTCCTCTGTCAAATTTCATCAAACACTCTGGGTTGCGAATATGAGGTAGTGCAATATATGACAATAACCATCCTAGAGTGTGATTGAGAAAGTATGCTTCATAAATGGTTCATGAACCATTGGTTAACTCACTGGTCTGCTAGCTTCAGGACTTGCCTGCCACGGGTTCGATCCCCACCCGTTCTGTGATTTATTTACAATCGTGTTATAAAGATTTCGTGAGTCAACAACCTTAATTTTATTTACTCTAGGCAAAACGCACGTACATTCAAGAGAGAATTTAATACAGGCAAAAATTGCATATCTTTGGTTCTTTTTCAGGTCGGAACCGGTGCAATTGACCATGCCTTGTGGAACCGACCTGAGAACATGACGGAGGAGCGACCTTCTTTCAAGATTGACGCCGAAAATCCTGGTTAGTGTAACTGTGTCATGATATTCCTGTTTGGTCAGTGAGAGTCCTGATGACTCTTGCTGGTCATAGTCCAGATGACTCTGGATGGCCAAGCAGAGTCCAGTAAATCTGGCTAGTCATAGACCTGATGACCCTTGCTGGTCAGTAAGAGTCCTGATAACTGGCTGGTCAGTCAGTACTATGACACATAAATTAACTCTACCCTCCCTCCCACTACCTATTGTTTCTCATTTTTGTATTGTTATGAACTAGTCGAATAACCCGTCTCTCACTAGAAATGAAGCCATTTCTCAATTTAGTGATATATACTCTGCGGTAAGTACTCTAGGCGAGCCTCCTAGTGAACTACAGTAATTGATGAATTTAATTCAAATGGTTCTGAACAATGACAAGTTGAATAATGAGAAACTTATGCAACATTTGGGAATGGTTATTGAAGAAACATTTCGTAAGTCAGTAGCTTCTTCAGTTCCAAACAAAGAACGCTTGAAGATGAGATATTTCTTTATTGCTGAAATGTTTCACCTGCACAGCAGGCTTCTTCGAATACAGAGATAATTTTAATACTGGAGAAATTGGAAGAGAAGAAATAGAGTAGAGAAGTGAGTAATTGGTCTCTTTTGTGGTTGTAGGTTCTGAACTGGCTGCTGAGACAGCTGCTGCCCTTGCTGCTTCCTATATACTGTACAAGGTAAGCGTTTTCTAAGACTGTTTTTCGTTTCTGTTATTTCTTTCCTATTTTTCTGCTGATTCCTTCCATTTTGTTCATTTTCTGTTATTTCCTTATTGTTATTTTCCTGTTGCTCTCGTTCATTATTTCTCTTCCTGTTTGTTTCCTGATGTTATTTTTCTGTTGTTACTTTCCCGTTTGAAGCTTTCTTCCTGTTTCTTTCTTCCTGCTACTTTCTATTATCCAGTAACAATTCCTATTCCTTCACTCACCTTTTTCCTTCGTGTTGAACGCTGTTCTTGACTTCCCGCTGCTGTTCTTTCCTTTCTTCCCGCTGTTCTTGACTTCCCGCTGCTGTTCTTTCCTTTCTTCCTCTGTTCTCTTCCTCTCTTCCTGTCGTTTCTCCTGTTCCTGTCGACATCTCTCATGTTGCGTTTCTCCTCTACGTAGCTGTTTCGGTTGGCCGGTTCTTGACACCTCCTGATTATCTCATATTCCCCGGGCGCTGAATGAACCATACTGATTTAGCGCTTCTCCATATTATCATAGCGTTCTTGTTTCCAGTTTTGTCTTGCTACTTCCCTCATTATCCTCCCCTCACTACTTCCCTTGCTACTTACCTCACTACTTTCCTTGCTGTTTATCTCGCTACTTACATTGCTACTTCCCTTGCTGCGTCCCTCATAATTCCCCCCTCGTTACTTTCTTCATTATCTACTTCACAACTTCCCATTGTTACTTCCCTCGCTACTTCCCTTCCTACTTCCCAAGCTACTTCCCTTGGTGCTTCCCTTTCTACTACCCTCGCTATTTCCCTCAGTACTTCCATCACTACCTCCCTCGCTACTTACCTTGCTACGTCCATTGCTACTTCCCTCGCTACTTCAGTTGTTACTTCCTTTGCTACATCCATTGCTACTTCTCTTGCTATTTCCCTCACTACTTTCCTTGCTGTTTTCTTTGCTACTTCGTTGCTACTTCCGTTTCTACTTCAATATTACCCTCGCTACTTCCCTTGCTACTTCCCTCGCTAATTATCTCGCTACTTCCCTCTTATTTCCATCGCTGCTTCCTTTGCTACTTCTCTCACTACTTTCCTTGCTACTACCATAGCTGCTTCCTACAATATTTCGCTCGCTGCTTGCTATCTCTCTCGCTACTTCTCTCACTACTTCCCTAGCTACTTAAGTCGCTTCTTCCCTCACTACTTCCCTTGCTACTTCCTTTGACATTTTCCTCATTATCTCGGCACTGACTCAGCAACTTTCCTCCTCAGGATACGGATGCTGACTCTGCTGATCAGATGCTCGCCGTGGCTCAGGAACTCTATGAGTTCGCTGACAATTTCCGAGGAATCTACGACGATGTCATCACCGACGCAGCCGACTCCTACCAGTAAGTACATGTCAAATCCGAGGAAGGGAGGGGTAGCTCCAACTCCCTGGATTGGGAGCTCATCCTTCTGTTGTGAGTCCTCAGGTCGGGAAGGGAACCTGGACAGTGGCCGGGCAACATGGAACGAAGCTGAGGATCAAGAAGACTAATGGAGTGGCAGAAACAACTAAGAACCAGAAGACAACTGTGGAAACGTCAAACCCATTTTCTGTGCTACCAGATGAATGGGGTTTTTCCACTGGAAACGTCACAACGATCACCAAGGAAGAACTGGCAGGGGAGGGTGAATCGACATCCCTTGAAATCCTAATGAAGACCACTCCAATAAAGGCCATCCCAAAGAAGATCATCGAGAACGTCACGACGAACTCCGCCAGTGAAGTTATGAACATTGTTTTAGTTGGGGACAATCAGGTTAAGTTTATGGATGGGGCTTTTTTTCTTAGAGATAGCAAGAGGAGGCAGAGGGTATGTTTTCCTGGGGCTGGGATGGAGGATTTTGTTAGCTGTCTAGACGACATAATAAAAGGAAGTGGGAGCAAACCTATTATCTGCCTCAGTGCGGGAGACAACGATGTAGGCAGACATAGGAGTGAGGACCTCATTAGCCAGTATAGGACAGCAATATAGATGATTAGGATGAAGGGTGGGAGACCTGTGACATGCGGCATTTTGCCGAGGAGAGGAGTTGGAATTGAACGGTTGTCAAGGGCAACTGGTGTCAATTGCTGGCTGGACAAACACTGTAAGGAAAATGCAGTAACATTCATCGAAAACTGGGACCTCTTCTATGGCAGAAATGACATGTATGCCAGGGATGGGGTTCACTTATTTAGGTTTGGGGTGGCGGGCCTGGCCAATGCAGCGGAGGCAGCTGTTTGGTCTTTAAACTAGAAACTAGTTAGTGGTATGCGTTTTTGTAAATTAGACACATGTGCAACATTTGAGTATCTTTACTGAGGAAACCTTTCGCCACACGGTGGCTTCATCAGTCCATACAAAGGAGAATGGTGAAGAACAGGAGGAATTTGAGGTAATCAGTCCCTCAGCTCTGAGTCGATGTAGTGAGTCTATCGATTTTGAAAAAATACAGCATATGTGCGAAGAAGGGGCTTATATACTGTAGGCAGGAGAGGTGCAGCAGCTGTAGATGGCTCACATTTGACCATTGTGGATGTAGGTCGTGCCCAAGAGTTAGGCAAGTGAAGAATTCCCTGTATTAAGATCCCAAGGTGTTGCTGTGTCAGACAGGAATGTAGATGAATGGTTCAGAAACCGACAAGTTGATAAATTAGACACATGTGCAATATTTTATAATCTTTATTGAGGAAACGTTTCGCCACATAGTGGCTTCATCAGTCCATACAATGGAGACTGGTGAAGAACAGGAGGAGTTTGAGGTAATCAGTCCCTCGATGTAGTCAGTCCATCAGCCTTTTCAAGATAGATGGACTGGCTGCATCAAACTCCTGTTCTTCACCATTCTCCTTTGTATGGACTGATGAAGCCACTGTGTGGCGAAACGTTTCCTCAATAAAGATACCCAAATGTTGCACATGTGTCTAATTGATCAACTTGTCGGTTCTCTGAACCATTCATCTACATGTTTTTCTGTGTAAATCAATGAATTCTCAGTGTAGCGATAGCGTGAGTTTTTAGGATACCAGTTACAGGCAGAATGAGGTAGAGTTATTTGTCAATACTGGAAAGCCAGTAGCACTAGGTGGCAAGGACAGTAAGAGGGATAGTGGAGGAACAGAAATGAGCAGGAAGAGAAAAGAGAAGAGAAGCTTTCTAAACATATATTATACTAATAGTCATACTGCTAGGAATATGATGGATGAATTAAGACTAGTTGCAAGTGCGGGTAACATTAATGTTTTTGCAATAACTGAGACATGGTTCAATACGAAAAATCGGGACATGCCTGCTGAATGTCACATTCGGGGTTATAAATTATTCCAAGTAGACAGAAGTATCAGGAAGAGGGGCGGGGTGCCACTCTACGTCCGAGATCGTTTAAGTTGTTGCATAAAAACGGTATAAAGTCTGTAACACGTTCTGAGCCTGTCTGGGTGGAATCTTCAGAGGGGCACGAAAAATTGATTTTAGGCGTAATATACCGTCCCCCAAACTTGGATAGGGACCAAGGGAAACTACTGGGGGAGGAAATTATAAGGACCACAAGGTACGATAACGTAGTAATTCTAGGGGACTTTAACTTTAGTCCTATTGATTGGAATTCCTTGACTAGGAATTTAGAGTCTAACGACTTCTTAGAGGTAGGTCAGGATTGTTTTTTTAGAGCAGTTTGTTACAGAACCTACTAGGAAAAATAACCTTCTTGACTTGATTCTGGCAAACAAGGAAACCCTTGTTAATAATTTGGAAATTTCAGATGAACTTAACTTGGCGCAAGCGACCACAAATCAATTACCTGTAGCGTTGAATGGAAGTATGATAGTAGGGATAACCCAGTAACGGTCCCACATTTTCACTTAGATTACAATGGGCTTAGAAAATAACTATCATCTGTGGACTGGGGTGACGAAGATAACTATCATTATGACAGCTTCCTAAACACTATTCATGTTGCCCAAAGAACGTTTATTCTATATATAGAAATAAGATCGAATAGAAATCACCCTAAATGGATTAATAATAGGCTCAAATATCTTTTAGGGCAGAAGAAAGTAATTTACTGTCGTATCAAAAGAAGTGAGGGTCATCTTATGAAACAATATAATGGCATTAAGAGGAATGTTAAAAAAGGGGATAAGAAAAGCTAAACGGGACGACGAAATTAAAGTTGCAAGGAATTCGAAAACTAACCCAAAAGGTTTTTTCCAGGTTTATTGAACAAAAGTTAGTGAAAAAAAGGTCCCCTTAAAAATAACTCTGGGCATCTTACTGACAAGGAGAATGAAATGTGCTCGATTTTTTAAAATTATTTTCTCTATGTTTTCACACAGGAAAACACTAACAATATCCCAGTAATAAATCTGTATAGTGGACCTGAAGAAGATCAATTATGTAATATAACAGTCACTAGCGATATGGTTATGAAACAAGTAGACCGACTGAAAATAAGTCCCTGGGACCTGATGACCTTTTTCTCGAAGGTTCTTAAGGAGTGCAAAATGGAACTCTTTAAGCCATTGACTAATATTTTTAATATATCTCTTCAAACATGTGTAGTATATTCATATGTGGAAGATGGTCAATGTAATTCCTATTTTTAAAGCAGGGGACAAGTCGCTACCGTCAAATTACCGCCCAATAAGCCTGATCTCAATTGTAGGCAAATTACTAGTCAGTTATGGCTGATAATATAAGAAACCATCTTGATAAGCATAATTTGATTAATGATAATCAGCATGGATTCACGAGGGGCCTTTCATGCCTAACTAATTTGCTAACTTTCTTCAGTAAAGCTTTTGAGGCCATTGATCATGATGAAGAATTCGATATTGTTTATTTGGGTTTTAGTAAGGCTTTTGATAAAGTTCCACACCAGAGACTGTTAAAGAAAGTGGAAGCTCATGGCAGTGGGGGAAAAGTGCTGTCATGGATCGAGTCATTGCTCACCAATAGGAAGCAGAGAGTGTGCATAAATGAGGTTAAATCTGAGTGGGGATCTGTAAAAAGTGGCGTTCCAGAGGGATCAGTTTTAGGTCCATTGTTGTTTATAATATATATAAATGACCTTGATGTGGGAATTACTAGTGATATGAGAAAATTCGCTGGTGACACGAAGATAGGTAGGATAATCGGTTCAAACGTAGATGTCACGGAACTTCAGAAAGATTTAGACAAACTCAATTCGTGGTCAGAAAATGGCATTTTGTAGTTCACACAGTAGATTAAAGTGTAAAGTTCTAAAGTTTCGGAAATGTTCATAACACATAGCAGTTATAAATGTGTTAAACTTAGCCGTGGATGCGAAAAATTTGCTTGGGGTTATATTTAAGCAGCAACATTTAAACCAAGACATATACATGACCGACAGGTTGGTTATAGTAAGAGACAAATGGGAACAGTTATGCAACTTTAAATTCACACGATTCGCCTACACAAGTTAGGCTTCTCAGTCGAGTACAGAAAGTAGGCAGGGGTATGTAGCATAGATGTAAACGATTAATCAGTCCATCAAACTTGAATACTAGATTTAAGGTTGATCCTCCTACTGAGAAAGTTCTGTTCATATTTGCATGCACTAAACGACGTAACATAGCGCATAAACAATAGATACTGTAAGCAACGTAATGCCAGCGGTTCTACTGAGCTTTTACATCATGTAGTAAGGTCTCACATTAGAATTACGCGGCTCAGTTCTGGTCTCCAGTTCTACGAGAAGAGTTACTGTCATATCTGTTAGAAACATTAACGACGAATGGCAAATTGAACTACATAGGCCAGTTGATAATCTTTGATATTAATATTAAGAATTGAAGACCCTTAAATTGCATTCACGTGTAAGACGAAGATGATGGGAGACATGATCGAGGTGTATAAGTGGAAGATGGGCATTGGTATAAACCTTGGTAATAAATACCGTAACACTGGAAACCACAAAATTTCAAAAACATTAGCATACATGATACTTAAGCAGGCTAAGCACCACCAACCCAACAACACAGGAGTCGATAAATTAGACACATGTGCAACACTTGGGTATCTTTAATGAGGAAAACGTTTCGCCACACAGTGGCTTCATCAGTCCATACAAAGGAGAACGGTGAAGAACGGGAGGAGTTTGAGGTAATCAGTCCCTTAGTCTTGAGTCGATGTGGTCAGTCCATCAAACTTAAAAAGAATACAGCATATGCTCGATGAAGTATCTTATATACTGTAGGAAGGAGAGGTGCAGCAGTCGTAGGTGGTATCACATTTGTCCAATGTGGAAGTAGGTCAAATGTAATACCACCTACGACTGCTGCACCTCTCCTGCCTACAGTATATAAGCTACTTCATCGAACATATGCTGTATTCTTTTCAAGATTGATGGACTGACCACATCGACTCAAGGATGAGGGACTGATTACCTCAAATTCAGCATGTTCTTCACCGTTCTACTTTGTATGGACTGATGAAGCCACTGTGTGGCGAAACGTTTCCTCATTAAACATATTCAAGTGTAACACATGTGTCTAATTTATCAACGTGTCGGTTCTCTGAACCATTCATCTACAACACAGGAGTCACATGACCTCATCGTCTACCCGTCCTCATCCCAACATGACATTCTTCAGGTCACCATGCGTCACTCACACCTCACTCTCCGCCTATATATAATGTCTTTCTACCTCTGTATGTTAGAGGTGATCAATTTTACTTTCGTAAAAATCTGCCTCAGGATACTGTCATATTCGTGCAGTATGGGGTTATCATATGAAGTTGAACATCTTAGGAAATATGTCAGCCTGGGCAGACTCAAGCACTTTGTGAGAAGGTACAAGGCATCGTTGGTGTCAAGATTGCCTATTCGTTGTTCCATTCTCCTCAACTCTTCCAGTTTCTTCCTGAGAATTGTGTCAGTTGCATCGCTTCAAAGAGGTGCTCCAAGTAAGACACTATTTGTGGATGAAATGACTGATGCTCCTGGCAGTTTTGATCTCACTGCATCTATCACTTGTTGATTGATTGAGATGATTTCACATTTGGATGGATTCAGAATGAGACTCATTTCCTGTTATCGCCTGTGTAAGATTATCTAAATTTGATTCCTTTGTACCTGCTAGTGTGCCATCATCTAGGAACCAGATGTTTAGCTCACTGGTCAGTCTGACTGTGATTTCCCTAACCGCTATACAGAAGAGAAATGGTGCGAGAGGATCCCCTTGCTGGACACCCTCTGATGATGTGACTTCATGCTCTCCAAGCAGGATCATTGATTCCTTGCTATATCCAGCTGAAACAAAAGGGAGGAGACCAGGGAAATGTTCTTGTACAGCTGCTAATACGACATCTCTTTTCAGGAGAATAAATGCATTCTTGAAATCTAATTTTACAACTGCATTGTCCTCAAGCAGGTTGTTGATATACGCCTTTGTTGCATGAACCGCTGCTTCACTTCCTTGAGAGACCCCAAATCCAAGCTGGTTTGGTTGAAGCATCATGGCTGCCTCTGTGCGAATACTTCAGACAGCAGCTTTGGAAACGAGGTGGCGAAAAGTGTTGCCCACTGCAATTGGCCTAATTCCTCCATTCTTCTTTTTAAGGGCAAAAAGTGATGCACCAAAGAAGAAAGATTTAATTTTGCCAGGAATCAGACTAGCCAAGGAGTTGTTAACAAACTTTGTGGTCTCTGAAAGCAGTGTCTCTGCAATCTCCCCAATAACTGGATTAACCATTTCCTTTAAATGCTGTGGCCTTAATCCAGCCTCTCCCTCTGCTCCATGAGCTTTATCATACCTCATCTTAAAACTATGTATAGTTCCTGCCTCCACTACATCGCTTGCCAGACTATTCCACTTCCTAACTACTCTATGACTGAAGAAATACTTCCTAACATCCCTTTGATTCTTCTGAGTCTTCAGCTTCCAATTGTGACCCCTTGTTTCTGTGTCCCATCTCTGGAACATCCTGTCTCTGTCCACCATGTCTATTCCACGCAGTATTTTGTATGTCGTTATCATGTCTCCCCTGACCCTCCTGTCCTCCAGTGTTGTCAGACCGATTTCCCTTAACCTTACTTCATAGGACATTCCCCTTAGTTCTGGAACTAGCCTTGTTGCAAACCTTTGCACTTTCTCTAATTTCTTGACGTGTTTGACCAGATGTGGGTTCCCAACTGGTGCTGCGTGCTCCAGTATGGGCCTGACATACACAGTGTATAAAGTCTTGAATGATTCCTTACTGAGGTACCGGAACGCTATTCTCAGGTTTGCCAAGCGTCCATATGCCGCAGCAGTTATCTGGTTAATGTGTGCTTCTGGCGATGTATTCGGTATTATATTCACTCCTAGGTCTTTCTCCTTGAGTGAGGTTTGCAGCCTTTGGCCACCTAACCTATACTCTGTCTGCGGTCTTCTTTGCCCTCCTCCGATCTTCATGACTTTGCATTTGGCAGGGTTAAATTCTAGGAGCCAGTTTCGGGACCACACATCCAGCCTGTCCAAGTTTCTTTGTAGACCTGTCTGGTCCGCGTCTGATTTAATTCTCCTCATTAACTTCACGTCATCTGCAAACAGGGACACTTCTGAATCTATCTCTTCCGTCATGTCGTTCATATATACCAAGAATAGCACTGGTCCCAGGACTGACCCCTGTGGGACCCCGCTTGCCAATGGCGCCAACTGCGATACCTCATCACGGACCATGATTCGCTGTTGCCTCCCTGTGTGTATGTGTGTGTGTGTGTGTGTGTGTGTGTGTGTGTGTGTGTGTGTGCGTGCTTTTGTTTGTGTAGTGTTTGTGTGTGTTTGTATGTGTGTGTGTGCGTGCTTGTGTGTGTTTGTGTGTGTTTGTACTGTGGAGAATAAATCTTGCGTCTTTCACCCGACAACAACTTTATTTCTGCAGTTCATGGAGCGGGTATGGTGACGAGCTGGTCTGGGCTGGTCTGTGGTTGTACAGAGCCACAGAGAACGAAACCTACCTCACCCGCTCCAAGGGTCACTGGGACGAGTTCAACTTCCAGTATTCAGCAGCTTTTCAGTTCTCCTGGGATGACAAGACGGCCGGAGTCTATGTGAGTCTCGCTGTATGAGATGCTTATTGTCGACAAGTATGGAGACCAAGACAGTTTCGCTACGTATACAGCTTTATTATGTCACTAATTAATGAAGCTTTACACAGAGCGACTCTTTGTCACAAAAACAGCTGGTTTTGTTACTTATGTTTTTGGCTTCATGTTAATCTTCCTGTCATAGAGTTAAAAGTTTTGGAACCTCACCTTAAGGACGAAATACACAGGTTGTCATTGTGATTTGTTCCATATGTCTTTAAATCTGAATCTCCTACATAATCAAAACCTGCGTCTTTCTTGTTTTTGAAATTTCTGTTAAGAAATTCTTTGTAAACTGTTGATTTTTACAGAACACATCGTAAAAGTTTGTGAATAAATAAACATATTAAAGAGTAATGCATCAGGTATTTTTTGTAAATTAAAAATAAATACTACTTTAGCTGGACTAACTGCGATACTAATCACCCGTCCATCAATGACACATCAGACCTACACTGAAACAATTAACTGGTACATGATATTTTGTTTCTAAAAACCTCTTGTGGTTCCCACAGGCACTCTTCTGGTTGTTGGAGGGATCCCAGACTTATTTGGACCACCTTAACACCTACCTGGATTACCTGCAGAACACCGCCCCATATACCCCAGAGGGTCTGGTCTTCCTCTCTTCTTGGGGTTCAAACAGGCATGCCGCTAATGTTGCCTTCCTCGCCCTCTGGGTCAGTTGTTTCCCTACATTTCTACTCTGCTATATTCTTTTCCTTTACGACATTGGCCGTCTCCCACCAAGGTAGGGTGACTCACTAATGAAAATATATTTCCCATTATTCTTCTAATAGCTGTCTTGCCAAATGTGTGTGTGTTTGTGTGTGTGTTTGTGTACTCACCTATTTGTACTCACCTATTTGTGGTTGCAGGGGTCGAGTCCTAGCTCCTGGCCCCGCCTCTTCACCGGTTGCTACTAGGCCCTCTCTCTCCCCGCTCATTGGTTTTCAACCTCGTTAAAACTGTGGTTGGTTCGTCTGCTCCACTACGTTATTTCTAGGCTATTCCACTGCCTTACAATCTATGACTGGAAGAAATTACTTCCTTTTCTCTCTGGATTCATTTGTGTCTTCAACTTCCGATTGTGGCTCTTGTTTCTGTGCCCTCTCCTGGAAATTCTGTCTTTGTTCCACCTTGTCTATTCCAGCAGTATTTTTATGTCGTGTTTATGTTCGCTCTGACCCTCCTGTCCTCCAGTGTGGTCAGGCCGATTTCCTTAATCTTACTTCAATAGGACATATCCCCTTAGCTCTGGAACTAACATCTGTTCGTTAACCTTTAGCTTTCTCTAAGTTCTTGACGTGCTTTATCAAAGTGCGGGTTCCAAACAGGTGCTCATATCCAGTATGGGCCTGACATACACGGTGTACACAGTGTCTTGAATGATTCCTTACTAAGGTGTCCGGAATGCTGTTCTCAGGTTGCCAGGCGCCCATATGCTGCAGCAGTTATCTGAGTGATGTGTGCTTCCGAGACATGCTCGGTGTTATACTCACCCCAAGATCTTTCTCCTTGAGTGAGGTTTGCAGTCTTTGGCCACCTAGCCTATACTCTGTCTGGGTCTTCTGTGCCCTTCCCCTATCTTCATGACTTTGCATTTGGCAGGATTAAATTCGAGAGCCATTTGCTGGACCAGGTGTCCAGTCTGTCCAGGTCTCTTTGAAGTCCTGCCTGGTCCTCATCAGATTTAATTCTCCTCATTAACTTCACATCATCTGCAAACAGGGACACTTCTGAGTCTAACCTTCCGTCATGTCGTTCACATATACCAAAAATAGCACTGGTCCTAGGACCGACCCCTGTGGGACCCCGCTCGTCACAGGTGCCCACTGTGATACATCATTACGTACGATGACTCGTTGTTGCCTCCCTGTCAGGTATTCTCTGATCCATTGCAGTGCCCTTCCTGTTATATGCGCTGATGCTCTAGCTTCTGCACTAATCTTTGTGAGGAACTGTGTCAAAGGCCTTCTTGCAGTCCAAGAAGATGCAATCAACCCACCCCTCTCTCTCTTGTCTTACTTTTGTTATTTTATCATAAAACTCCAGAAGGTTTGTGACACAGGATTTGCCTTCCGTGAATCCGTGCTGGTTGGCATTTATACTCCTGTTCCGTTCCAGGTGCTCCACCACTCTCCTCCTGATAATCTTCTCCATAATTTTGCATACTATACACGTCAATGACACAGGTCTATAGTTTAGTGCCTCTTTTCTGTCTCCTTTTTTGAAAATGGGAACTACATTTGCCGTCTTCCATACCTCAGGTAGTTGCCCAGTTTCCAGGATGTGTTGAAGATTGTGGTAAGTGGTACGCACAACATATCTGCTCCCTCTCTAAAGGACCCATGGAGAGATGTTGTCCGGTCCCATTGCCTTTGAGGTATCGATGTCCCTTAGCATTTTCTTCACCTCCTCCTCATCTGTATGTATGTCGTCCAACACTTGTTGGTGTATTCCTTGTTGGTGTCCCCATCTGGTCTGTCCCCCCAGAGTCCTTCCTGTCTCTACTGTAAATACTTCTTAAATCTCGTGTTGAGCTCCTCACATACTTCTTGATTTGTTTCTGTGAGTTCTCCATTCTTTCCTCAGCCTTTACCTGGTCTCTGACTGTTGTCCTTACCTTCCTAATGTGGCCTATCAGCTTTCGGGTCAGATTTGACTATTCGATCTATGTCAGTTCTGTCATACTGTCGCTTGCCGCCTCCCTCCTAACTGACGCTATACTCGTTAATGAAACTCTTCTACTAATCTCCTTTGTTTTCTGGAGTCTAGCTCCTGTACCTTTTCCAGTTCCCATGTCTGACATCTTAGTTCTTGCCTCCCACACTTCTACAACCAGTGACTCGTTTTTCGTGTCTCCTCCTCACTCTCATTGTGACCGTTTCCCTTAACCATCAAGGACTTCCCTGCCTCCTTGCACTTGTTGCAACATATTCCTCAATCTGCGTGTTGACCTGATGTTTCCACCATTGTCTGCGTGTCCCATCATGAACCTGACTACAGGATAAGTCTTACTATACCTGATGAGGTCCACCTTATTACTAGTTTGCCTAGCGTCCCCTCAGTTTCTGTTACCTTCTCGACTTGTAACTCTCGTATATATGTCACTCAGAACTTCACATGATCGCTTAGCATCCTAAGGCCCTCGTCTAAGTGTGTCCTCGATGTACTGAATGCTCAGAGTTCGGAACACAAGCTCCAGTCTTCTGGCTCTCCTCCCTCTCTTTCTCTCGTTCTCCGTCTCCTGCAAACTCTGAACATTCTTGATGCATGAGTTATTTACAAGATACCACGTCCATGATCCTTGGCTCTCCATGGCCTATCGAGACCCCAACCATGTGTGTTGCCTCCCTGTGTGTGTGTGTGTGTGTGTGTGTGTGTGTGTGTGTGTGTGTGTGTGTGTGTGTGTGTGTGTGCGTATGTGTGTTTGTGTGTGTGTGTATGTGTGTATGTGTGTGCATGTGTGTGTGTGCGTTTGTGTGTTTGTGTGTGTGTGTGTGGTGTGGTTGTTGTTGAGTTATGTGTGTTGTGTGGTTGTGAGTGTGTGTGTACTCACCTATTTGGTACTCACCTATTTGTGGTGCAGGGGTCGAGTTAGCTCCTGGCCCGCTCTTCACCGGTTCTATGGGCCCTCTTCTCCCCGCTCATAGCATTTATCAAAGCCCTCGTCTTAAAACTGGTGTATATGTTTGCTCTGCCTCCACTACGTCATTATTCTAGACATTTTATTGCCACTGCCTTTACAATCTCCTATGACCTGAAAAGAAATTACTTTCCTAATATTTCCCTGACTCATTTGTGTTCTTCAACTTCTCAATTGATTGGCCTACTTTGTTTCTGTTGTCCCTCACCTCTGGAACATATGCTGTCTTTGTCTACCTTTTTTTTTTGTTATTCCACGCAGCTATTTTATATGTAACGCCTTATCATGTTTCTCCCTTCACGCTCCTGTCCTTTCCGTGTCGTCAGGCCGATTTCCTTCTAATCTTTCTTCATGGACATTCCCCTTAGCTCCTGAATATTTCATTAACCTCTGCTCGCAAACCTGTTTTGTATTTGGTGTTCGTGTTCTTGGTGTTGTGTGAGTGTGTGTGTGTGGCGATGTTGTGTGTGGTTGTGTATGTGTGTGTGTGTGTGTGTGTGTCGTTTGTTGTTGTGTGTGTGTGTGTGTGGTGTGGTGTGTGTGTGTGTGTGTGTGTGTGTGGTGTGTGTGGCGTGTGTGATGTCGTGTGTTGTGTGTGTGGTGGTTTGTGTGTGGTTTGTGTGTGTGTGAGTGTGTTGTGTGTGTGTGTGTGTGTGAGTGTGTGTAGTGTGTGATGTGTGTTGTGTGTGTGTTGTGTGTGTGTGTGTGTTTGTGTGTGTGATAGAAGAGAGATGAAGAGAGAGAGAGAGAGAGAGAGGAAAATGTGTGAATTCCATCACTGATGCGTCGTTTCTTTTACATTTCAAGGCTGCCAAACAAGGTGTGGACACGGCACAGAACAGCCAGTGGGGTCAGGAACAGATGGACCAGTTGTTGGGTGCCAACTCTCGCTACAACATGACCTTCGTTGTGGGCTTCGGTGACAAGTATCCTGAGAGACCTCACCACCGTGCCAGGTACACACATTCGGCAGTTTTTCGATATGTCTTTTATCAGTCCAATTACGGATCGATACACCGTCTAGTTTCCATTGAAAAAAAATTTCAATTGTTTCAGCTTCTTAATTATGAGTATTATTGTGTCTCACGTTGTTCTAATTACTACTGAAACCAACTGAAACAATATTGCATAACTGGAATTAAATATTAGAGACGAGACAAAACTTGAGTTATGTAACGTGATCTCTCTTTCCCTGACCGTCAGCTCGTGTCCCGACCCCCCTGAAGCTTGCAATTTTGGCTGGGCTTACACCCAGCCTGGGCCGAACCCGCACGTTCTGTATGGTGGCTTGGTTGGTGGACCAGACGAGGTTAGTAAATCTAATCACCCGGACCAGAGCAGTTTAGAGTGTTTTGGTTAATTAGAATTATCGCTGGTCCTCTCATATTCCTTCATGATTCTTGTTGAGTCTATTGAGGATTATTTAGTTTTTCTTATCAAATACTCTAGTGTTTACGAGTCAGAATCTTGCTGTAAGAGAGAGTTCGTCCTAGTTTTAAATTCATAATCCCTCAAGGGAGGTCCCTTGACGCTGGTGAGGGGCTCTTGATCTAGGGAATTGGATCTTTGCTGCAGTTCCCTGTATTAAGCTTGAATACATTCCATCCCCTTCCCCCACACAGACGCTGTATAATCCCTCCGGGTTTAGCGCTATACCATGATAATAATAACAATAATAATAATAATAATAATGATAATAATAAATTCATATGCGTAAGAAACAAGACTCTTACATCTTTTCCGGGATGATTAAAGATTCCTTATCATGGCCTTATCTATGACCTCCCTGTCATCAGTGACCTCCCTGTCATCAGTGACCTCCCTGCCATCTGTGACCTCCCAGCCATCAGTGACCTCCCTGCCATCAGTGACCTCCCTGCCATCGGTGACCTCCCTGTCAACAGTGACCTAAACGTGCGATGTCTGACCCATCAACAATGTTCACCTTGCTTCAACTAATGTCGTGTTTCGCTTCCTTCCTCAGAACGGCGACTACGAGGATGACCGCTCTAACTACGAGCAGAACGAGGTCGCCTGTGACTACAACGCTGCCTACAGCGGTGCTCTAGCTGCTCTAGTAGAGCTTAGTTAAAAACTGTCTCGTAGAGCTTAGTTAAGAGCTGCTCTCGTAGATATTAGTTAAGAACTTCTCTTACAGAGCTTAGAAGAATCCTGGCCTCGCGTTACTAGCAGCTGTGTCCCAGTAACTGAAGGCCGAGTCTTCTGTGATCACTCTCTCTCTCTCTCTCTCTCTCTCGTCAATAACTTCGACTGAATCAGACGACTTATCTTCTGAATGGAAAATGATTAAATTAACAAAATTAATGTTTATTGTTATCCCTATGTATGTTTTTTCTCAGCAGTTAGGCAGCCTGATCAAAACTCTCACAATTTTTGCGACAAACACCGAATTTTCTGCGATGTCCCAGCGAGAAACATTTCTCTGGAGCACTGAAATTTGGATATTTACGAAGATTGAAGACGTATAGTTTGAAATTTAAATTGTATAATATAAATTTATCTTTTTCGAAAGAGATTTTAGCCTAGTGTGTGTCTCGTTTATAACGAAAAAACAATGTGACGTATTTTTTTGTGGAAGATAGTCGCAAAATCATTAAATTAGTTGATTTTGATCAATTTAGAGAGATGTAACAAGGCACATGTTCAGAACTTACTGTCTTTTCTGACGAAATTTTCTACCTGCGCTACAGCCTTCATCAGTTAAACACGGAGATGCATTACAATCATTGAGACACTAGAAGAAGTGGAGAGGTAGAACAAAAGTAATCAGTCCCTCAGCCTTGGAAGATAATCAGTCTCTTAGCCTAAAGCATGTACAGTGATTTTTATTCCGAAAAATGAAGGGTAGTGTCCTAGAGATGAGGCAGGAGATGAGCGAGGTGACTAGTGGAAGCTGGCCAGGCTAAACAGTGCAATATATATAATCTATCATGGCAGATGAGGAGATAGGTGTGTGTGTTAGTTATCAGCTGTCAAAGGCACTTGTCGATAGGCATTCGGCCTGTTTTGTGTGTTTTGGTGTGTGTGTGTGTGTGTGTGTGTGTGTGTGTGTGTGTGTGTTTGTACTCACCTAATTGTGGTTGCAGGGTCGATTTACAGCTCCTGGCCCCTCCTCTTCACTGGTCGCTACTACGTGACTCCCTGCTCCGTGAGTTTCATCATACTTCTTCTTAAAGCTATGTATGGATCCTGCCTCCACCATCTCACTATCAGTCTTCATCATCCAACTGTGATCTCTTGTCGCTGTATCCCGTCTCTGAAACATATTATCTCTGTCTGCCTTGTCGATTTCTCTCAGTATTTTATATATTGTTATCATGTCCCCCTGTCCTCCCGTGTCGTCAGGTCAATTTCCCTTAACCTCTCCTCGTTGGACATGCCCCTTAACTCCGGGACTAGTCTCGTTGCACATTTTTGCACTTTCTCTGATTTCTTGACGTGCTTGCCCAGGTGTGGGTTCCAAAGTGTGTGTGTGTGTGTGTGTGTGTTTTGTGTGTGTGTGTGTGTGGTGTGTGTGTGTGTGGTGTGTGTGTGGGGGTGTGTGTGTGTGTGTGTGTGTGTGTGTGTGTGTGTGTGTGTGTGTGTGTGTGTGTGTGGTGTGTGTGTGTTGTGTGTGTGTGTGTTGTGATGTGATGAGCACTCATGTTAGCTTATTTTTTTTTGTCTTCTAAAACCTAGTTGTGAACGTGATGACGCGATGCTCCTTTGTTTTGTTCAGTGATGTTTTGTGGGTGTATAACAGTTGTTTCTAGGCTCCCTCTCCGTTCCCTCCTTCAACGGCAATCTTATAACAACAAACAAAGAGCCACGGAGTCTGCATTTTTTCTTACACCACCGAGTTTACACAGGCTAAGAACTGTTATCCTTAGCTTATTTACAAGTAAGAGCTGTCATCCTACCTCAGTTTATTTACAAGTTCAGAGCATAAAGTCAGGCCATCGAACAGATTAATCAAAATGATTAATATTAATATGTTCATAAACAGGCGCTAAACTCCCAAGGGTCATACACAACCTCGGGAATGAGAAGCAATGAGTGTCGATCTGAGGAAAGGAAAGCAAGATGTGTCGTGTGTAATCAGGGTACATAAACTGCACAGGTCTCATGGAACACAGAGCACGTACAACAGGAGGTGTATATTTCCCATTATATATATACAGATGAATACAGGGAGATTTTTCTTTATTGTGGCTGCTAGGGAGAGGAGTCGAGTCTGTGTACCCTGCGCCACCTTTTAAATATTCACGGACGCTCACACTCACTTCAAAGAAACATCACCACTGTCATACTCACTCCCCGACTCATGAATTATCTTATATCTAATCTTTGAGATGCGTGTGAAATATTCTTCCACTGTTCTTCATTCTCTGATAACAGTTTTCAGGAAATGAAGTCTTGAGAACACCGTCAACTGAATATCGTGTACTGTTACAAAAAGCGATATCCATAAAGTACAGACATCTACAGAGAATACTAGAAGGTCAATTTATTGATCCCCGTCTAGCATTTAGCCTGTTTCTGGTTGTATAACAGTTTGTCAGTATATGATGGAGTCCAGTTATCCGTTGAATTTGAGTAAAATATTAATAGCGAATGTACCCGACCATATGGCCGGACATTAGTATTAACCAGAACATTTTATAAATATTTAAACATTACGTGAATCTTTATCACCCTACTTTATTCTCCCTCTCCCTTCTTCCCTACCTTTTTCCATCCCCAGTTCTTTCCTCTATACCTTAGTCTTTATCACCTCTCCCTTATCTCTCTCATCCTCCCTTCGTCCATATCTAAGCCACAGTAAACAAGAACAGGGAATAAATTAATAAACACAGTTGAGATAGAATAGGTAGCCATTGAAGGTGACGGGGGGATCCCTCCTCTCACCCTAGTGGAGGCTCCCAGCGCCGTGACGGGGGGATCCCTCTACTTTCCCTATTGGAGGCTCCCAGCGCCATGAAAATCTTCCAGCTCCTGCACCCAACATCTTGCTCCTGGGGGATTTCAACTTAAGGCACCTAAAATGGAGGAATACAGCAAATAATATTGTTGCAGTAATAACACCAGGAGGCAGCTCTGATGAAAACTCACACTCACACGAGCTTTTAAATCTCTGCACAAAATTCAGTTTAAACCAGCAAATAATAGAGCCTACTAGACTAGAGAATACACTAGACCTCATCTTCACTAACAATGATGATCTGATAAGAAATGTCACCATATCAAAAACAATATACTCAGATCACAACATAATTGAGGTTCAGACATGTATGCGTGGAGCCCCAGACCGACATAATGAGACTAGTCACAAGGGAGCATTCACCAAATTCAACTTCAATAACAAAAACATAAAGTGGGACCAAGTAAACCAAGTCCTAACCGATATAAGCTGGGAAGATATACTAAGCAACACAGACCCAAACTTATGCCTAGAACAGATTAACTCGGTAGCACTCGATGTATGCACAAGGCTTATTCCTCTAAGAAAAAGGAGGAGTAGATGTAAAATAGAAAGAGACAGGCGCTCCCTTTACAGGCGACGGAAAAGAATAACAGAGCGGCTAAAAGAGGTCAATATATCTGAAATGCGTAGGGAGACACTGGTCAGAGAAATAGCAAGCATCGAACTCAAGCTAAAGGAATCTTATAGGAGTCAGGAATCGCGGGAAGAACTAAAAGCCATAAATGAAATCGAAAGAAACCCAAAGTATTTCTTTTCCTATGCCAAATCAAAGTCGAGAACAACATCCAGTATTGGGCCCCTACTTAAACAAGATGGGTCCTACACAGATGACAGCAAGGAAATGAGTGAGCTACTCAAGTCCCAGTATGTCTCAGTTTTTAGCAAGCCGCTAACCAGACTGAGAGTCGAAGATCAAAACGAATTTTTTATGAGAGAGCCACAAAATTTGGTTAACACAAGCCTATCCGATGTTATCCTGACGCCAAATGACTTCGAACAGGCGATAAATGACATGCCCATGCACTCTGCCCCAGGGCCAGACTCATGGAACTCCGTGTTCATCAAGAACTGCAAGAAACCCCTATCACGAGCCTTTTCCATCCTATGGAGAGGGAGCATGGACACGGGGGTCGTCCCACAGTTACTAAAAACAACAGACATAGCCCCACTCCACAAAGGGGGCAGTAAAGCAACAGCAAAGAACTACAGACCGATAGCACTAACATCCCATATCATAAAAATCTTTGAAAGGGTCCTAAGAAGCAAGATCACCACCCATCTAGAAACCCATCAGTTACACAACCCAGGGCAACATGGGTTTAGAACAGGTCGCTCCTGTCTGTCTCAACTATTGGATCACTACGACAAGGTCCTAAATGCACTAGAAGATAAAAAGAATGCAGATGTAATATATGCAGACTTTGCAAAAGCCTTCGACAAGTGTGACCATGGCGTAATAGCGCACAAAATGCGTGCTAAAGGGATAACAGGAAAAGTCGGTGGATGGATCTATAATTTCCTCACTAACAGAACACAGAGAGTAGTCGTCAACTGAGTAAAGTCCGAGGCAGCTACGGTGAAAAGCTCTGTTCCACAAGGCACAGTACTCGCTCCCATCTTGTTCCTCATCCTCATACCCGACATAGACAAGGATGTCAGCCACAGCACCGTGTCTTCCTTTGCAGATGACACCCGAATCTGCATGACAGTGTCTTCCATTGCAGACACTGCAAGATTCCAGGCGGACATCAACCGAATCTTTCAGTGGGCTGCAGAAAACAATATGAAGTTAAAAGATGAGAAATTTTAATTACTCAGATATGGTAAACACGAGGAAATTAAATCTTCATCAGAGTACAAAACAAATTCTGGCCACAAAATAGAGCGAAACACCAACGTCAAAGACCTGGGAGTGATCATGTCGGAGGATCTCACCTTCAAGGACCATAACATTGTATCAATCGCATCTGCTAGAAAAATGACAGGATGGATAATGAGAACCTTCAAAACTAGGGAGGCCAAGCCCATGATGACACTCTTCAGGTCACTTGTTCTGTCTAGGCTGGAATATTCCTGCACACTAACAGCACCTTTCAAGGCAGGTGAAATTGCTGACCTAGAAAATGTACAGAGAACCTTCACGGCGCACATAACGGAGATAAAACACCTCAATTACTGGGAGCGCTTGACGTTCCTGAACCTGTATTCCCTGGAACGCAGGCGGGAGAGATATACATGATTATATACACCTGGAAAATCCTAGAGGGACTAGTACCGAACTTGCACACGAAAATCACTCAATACGAAAGCAAAAGACTTGGCAGACGATGCAACATCCCCC